GCCAGCAAGCCGGTGCGCAGTCTTGCGTGAAATCGACAAATGGGGCGGAAGGCTAGACGACGGACATTCGCAGGCCAGTTCATCGTCCTGTCCGCGACTTGTGTTGCTGGCCTGATACACCAACTTCGAGCCAAAGAATTCTGACGCACGCGCACACACACACATACAGACATACAGACAAACGCAGAAACGTGAACACAAAACACATCCAAACACAGGCTCAGAGGCAAGTGTCAACGCTCGGGCATATCGTGTAGGTTGAAAAAAACTCAGTCGGTATTCACACTCAACAGACATCTGTGCGGTTCGGCGAAATAGACGAAGCTTGTTCATTTTTTGTCCCTCATGTCACACAGTATCCTATTCTAATCGCGTATGCTAACGACAACTTTCATATTTTGCATTTCCACCCCTCATGAACTGTGGATCAATGAGAAAAGATCTACCCTATATTCCTGCCTACCGCTGCTCCTCGATACGCGAAATAGGCAGTGCGATCAGCGAAATTGGTCGAAACCGAATGAATTTCTTGTTAAAGGTAGGGGAGATTTCAGGAGTGCATGAATTTTCCAAGGTTGTCGTAAAATATTGGACTTGAATCAATCAGCATACGGCTAGAAGCTCAGGAAATACCTGTTCACCAGCTCTCTTGTTCAGTTTGATGTTATCAGGCTGGGGTTAGATTCTGCCGAACCTTTATCGTGCAGTTATCTAACCATGTGAATAGACGTTTTTTCAACTAGTCCAAAACGACAGTAAGCAAACAGGCAAGACTTGACTGAAACCTTGAGCTTTTTGCTTACGAGTTTAGGTGCCAACCCATTAGTTGGTTACGCTCTCAGACCAATAACTAATGATACAACGTTAGCGTGCCCCAGGTTTCAGTGTCCTGAAGATTTTGTTTTTCATTATCCATCATAGCGGTCACATTATAGAAGCTGACACCGAAGATTTTTACTGTCTATTGCCAACCGTGGTCTCGGTAGTTTCCCATATCAAACCGATTGTCGTCAGGATCTGTGAACCGTTTCAAACCAAGACAAATAACCTCTCGCCAAATCACGACCGACTTTATTCCCTTCTCTGGCGACACGATGATGCATCTTGTTGAGGGCACTGAAGCGTGAAGACCGGCAGTTCACAAAGCAGTTACACCTATAACCGAGCGAATAGGGGTTGGTTTATGTTCGACCTTTCTTTCGACCTCTCTTTGAACAGGGGGTGACCGTAGTGGTCAATAAAACATGCTAAATATATTTAGGACACCTGGGTGACATGTTTATTTTTGACGCATACACGAACTTGACATCATGCGTTTCTTTCCATGGCACAGTCTTCTTTGACCCGCATTCGGGATATTCGGAAGGCCGTCGGAAATAACCCACTATCATTGTTTTTGTTATACACTGCACTGGCAAAAGCCTTCAATTCGCTCTATCCTTTCGTCCTTGTAAGTTTAGTTCTGTCTAAATTTCAAGACTTGGTTTTGGTATATGCGGCATATGCATATGTGTGGCATACCCAGTTTGCAACATCAAGAAACCTTGGCGTAAGAAAGGCTTGACGTCATATTTATTCACTCTTATGCAATAAGTCGAATGTGTCCGGCATGCGCCCCAACCCCCGCGTGTCAGGTGTGCAGAGTTCAAACTGCGGCTCTAATAAGAACGATCCTTGGTGTGGACTCACGATAATAACTGTGTCAGGACAGGAGAATAGTTAAAGGGAGGCTGTGTGAACGAGAATACATATATCTATATAATTTGTGCCATTATACTATTGGTAATCTGGGAGCTACCCAAAATCACTTTTCTCGGCTCCAATTGAAGACCTTATCCACCGGTTCGTCCGAGGAAACTGATTGATAATATCAATTATCACTGGGTTAAGGATGTCGGTACGTGACTTAAAGACCAACTCAAATCATTAAACGCTTTCTTGTTGCCAAGACTGAAGCGTCGATTTTTGGAGACTTTCGTGACCGTAACCTCTTCACGTATCGGTGGCCTTTTTCAATCCCATCAACTGTCCTCTACAAAACTGAGGCTGAATCTAAAGTGAGTGCATCTGTACTGGACGGATTCACTGGTATGCATCAAGTGTCTGTAAGCATCACCTTCCCTAACAGGTGGGTTCCAACCATATACGTTTACAAGCCATTTTCTTCTGTACATGTCTTCTCATGATAGAGGTACAGGATTGGTAAAGGATTTAGCAAAGGCTCAGTCGACATAAAAAATGAAGTAAACGGATATTTTCATTAAACTAGTGTGTTTGTCTAGTTAAATGTGGAATCCTGCGAAAAAAGCTATCTGGAATTTTCGGTGAAGTGGCCCGTTTCCATTTACCAAGCCACAAAATTTTACGAATAATATTATATAAACACTAAAAGATCTGTTACTATTGTCATGTCTGACTGTGCCAGATATGCGACTCACTGAGCGCTCGTTGGAATCTTGTTTCATCTTTAACCACCGCGAATTTTCATAATCTTGACTAGCTCCTCATAACTTCTTGTGATCAGTTCGATTTCGGTGAGATTACTTTATTTTTTTCGAATAGCACTTAAAGTTTTCAACATTTTTGTTCGTCTGGCCAGTCAATATGGAAGAACTCCGATTAGGTGAATTCTAATGAAGTTTCTCTTTGGAATGTTTTCTACAGCCTTGTTTTAATCGTAGCTGCGTACCTGGTAACAACAGCTCTTCCAACTAATACGGATGTGACTCACGGTGAAGTGTTGTAAGTAAGTAACTGAACAACTTAAAGGTACACAAGCATTAACTACTATTTCAGTAGAAGCAACAACCACGCTCGGTGATGGACGTCTTAGGATGACTTCATGAAAAGACAGCATTGCAAGGATTCACGGACCCACAGGTGGCGTCAAAGATTTGTTCCAAAAAATCGCAGCAGAAACATTGTAGTCTATACTAAGCGTAAATCAAGTCCAGATTCGTCGTTCTCGAAAACTGTAATACCGAACTGTGCATCAGATTTCCTGGTGTTTTTTAAGATTCAGAAGGATAGGGGCCCAGTATCGATACCTATAGGTATAGATACCGATACCTAGAGTATCGGTATATGGCTTATTATACCCAACATAGCTCTTATCACATAATGTCAAGAACTGGTGAGACTGGATTTGAGTTTTAAGCCTTGTGAGAGACCACCACAGTTCCCAAGACCTAAGTTGCCTGCTCAAAAGTACACTGACTGACTGCTTGGAGAAGCAAGTGCACATCGGATTGCTATTTTGTCCGGGCAATTTTCAACAAGCTGAATTGCAATTCGAAATTCAGCTTAGAATGGACAAGACTCTAAATCTTCAGTCACAAAAGGCAGTAGATGAGATTCCCCAGAATCGGTCAGGTTAAGCATGTGATGCAGAAATTTTGCTGTACTTGTGGTTTTCGAGGTCTCTTAGCCAGGATTCGAGTCTACAGTTTTTCGATCATGCAGTGGTTGGATTTGTCTTGATTGACCCGAGAGATCATCAAATCTTTAGCCCATTCTACCACCCATCTTGTCTTGAGTAGTTTGGCAAAAGTGAGTACACTGTTTTTTTTCTTAAAAATTGGACTTTCAGTTGTAATCTAGACAAACTATTCCTGTCAGTGCAGCTTTTAGAGGTCAAAGTGGTTAAAGTCGTTTAATATGAGCTTGTTTCTGTACCCGACAAATTGTATCATGCACACCACGTCACCTGTTGCTAGGGATAAGTGAAAAAATAGTGGCATAACACATTTTATATGTATACATTCGAAAAAGAAATATGGAATGCAGAGAGGCGGTTTCTATAAAACAGTCTGAATCTTCCAATACATTCTTGTAGTTTGGTTCTCGTTGAGCGATTATGGTGGTCGCGGCGAACTTTCGAGAGTGAACCTCACATATTCGATTGGATTATTCATACGAGTAAAGAGACCGCATAAGTTTACCGTGAAGGAAGGAAATTCACTAGTCTTTTACTTAGTAGTAGACTTTACGAATAAATCAATATGTCACATTAAATTTAGCGTTTCCTTGTATTGCCACTATTACTTTCTGGTGAGATTGGTCGAAATTCCGCCTTCAAGACAGATCAAATATAACCGCTTGAAGCTCTTGCATGAGTGAAGTTTGTTGAAGGGAGTGATCTTGTTCTTTGATCCCCATAACTTGGATTCACAATCAATCAAGCCTCACTAGCACAGTGCAGGTTAGTTGCCCTATTTGTGACACTACGATTGACAACATCATATCATATTTGATCGCACAACATCTCCGGTTATTTCAGCTTACCCCTGAAAGACACCTCTGAAGGGAAGCCAGTTCCCTGGATGGTCTAATTTGGAATTCTCTGACATCTACAATCCCACGAAGGAAGTTTATTCAAGAGTGGCAGCGAAATCTCTTTCGCTCTCATAGCATTCGGGATTATGTTGTACGATGCATTACTTATTTGCTGTATCAAATATGGTCATTAGGATGCCCGCATGAACACATGGAAGAGTTATCTGTTTGTTATTTCCATGTATCTAGAGGAACTGAACTATCATTTAAAACCTTCAGTTGAACAAATGTTTCTGTACAACGAGACACCGGTACCCGAAATTCTTGTTTCTTTACTCCCAGCGTGAAGGGAATTCAGAATAGTTTAGAGACATTGACTACTAACTTCCTTACTCGTATGATATTCTATTCCTCATAAATGTATACATATTCGTATGTTAACCAATGTAAACGAGGTGCAACGGAACGAGCCTGTGTTCATCGTGCACTAGTGAAACTGGTTGTCTGTGTAACATAGAGGTTGAAACAAACAATGTGAGAGAGAAAAACAGGACAAAAGTTTTGCTTGCATGTTATCGGAAAGAGGGTTGGGTTGTTCTGTAAAGTTTCAGGACCACAGCCTTAGATCAAGTAGTTTCTGTCACGGAGGTAACGTACAGTAGTGCACACGCATATACATTGTCCATAAACATTTGAGCCTTACGTCAGAGTTAGGTTCGGTGAGATCAACGAAGAAATCGTGGTAGCTCGCAGAAGGTAGGGCTTTCTATTGAGTCTGAGACAGAATGTTGTGATATGAGGTTACCCAAATCGAACTTCTTGCCCACCGAATGCGTGATACTCCTGGGGGCAGACATCTCAGTTGGTTCTGAACATGTGACGTTGGTTTGGAAAGGGTGTACTTGATAGTCGCTTGTCCGTGATGGGTTTCCGCATCCTCCTCCCCAGGCTGCAACGGCCGCCACCGCAGCTGCTGCTGCTACGGTGGAGAAACTGTTTGATTGGTCGGGTTGTGACGCGATCATTGGTGGTGAGGCGATCCCTGAATCTGTTGATAATGTGCTAGGTTGGGGGCAACCAGACGGTGGCCAAGTCACGGGTTGCGAAGGCTCTACTCCGTAGAACGGTAAGGAGTCAGTTGAATTAAGCCACACCGTAGATTGGTCAGTCGGTTGACAAGAGCGCTGATATGACATAGGTGGAGGGTTTTTCTCCAGGGAGTTCAGAAAATGTCCTTCAAATAGTGCCGGATCATCTGGTCGTAGCACGTGGGCGTCAAACAAGTTGTTGTGTGTCATCTCAGGATAACGAGTTTCCAACACGTGCTTAGCACCCATTTGTCCGCCTTCGTTTTCATCGTACTTTGGCCTAGAATAACGAAAACCCTCGGCATCCGTGTCGTACGCTGTTGGTTGTGAAGTCAACCGCACAGTCCCTCTATGATTGGCATAAGCTTCCGTAAGGTGGGTGTCATTGGAATACTTTGCGTCCGCATTTGGCGTAGTTTTGTGGTTTTCTGAGACGGAAGGCTGTCATAAAAAAGGGGGCGTGCATTGCATTTTCAATTAGTTAATGAAAGTAGTCTGTGTTATATAGGTCTGGGGGTTTCATAAATGAATTGATCTCGATAAACGTGTTCCCCAAATGGTGCCGAAACAAAACAAAGTAATAGAGCTTCCTGAATTTACATACCCCTATTTATTCTCATTTTGTAGTTCGGCGAACCAGTTTACTGAAAAAAACAACCTCCAGTCGCATAGACTGCTTCTGTAACATGATGGGGATTTTGGGCTAGTGAAGTGTATAGTCAATGGTCATGGTGACTGGAATGTTGCTGTGACGCAGAACTGCCTTACAGAGCAGACGCTGCAAGCCTGCTTCAGTCGCTGATCAGCAGTGCCAACTGGGAGACTTCAGTGGCGCGGGGCCCAACTGCCTTGAAGAAAATTCACACGCATAGTCTTTGGCGAGTGCTTTGAAAGCTATAGACAGACAGAGGATAGGAGAGATAGATACAAATTTTTTTTGCCATTGAAATTTCGTTTTGAATAGCGATAGCATGCAATTTCAATTGCGTAGAAGATTTTGTTGGCTTACTGTGGATTCAGATTGCAGCCATTTGTCGTCAGAAGAACTGGAATCAGTAACATATTGTTGGGCAACTAAAAGGACCTGTCCACAATATTTGAAGATATATGCACACATATGTTAATACTCTAAACCATATAATTCATACGTGAGCATCCCGGTAAAAGGTCACTTCTTACCAGGTGACCGTCATCCACATTGCGTGGCCAACCTGTAACTGCCGCTGGTCTGGATAGTGTGTCCGGTTTCTCACTGGACACGCCAAAACGACTCCAAACACAATGAATTGGTGCGTCTGACTGGTCAGGATGGGTGGAAATGACGTTGGATTTCGGTGAATTGTCTGAGGCTGACGGTTTGACGGAACTGGGTGGCGTGCAGCTGTGGAGTCTCTCTTTTCCTTCTCTTCGCCATTTCGCCCTCCTGTTAGAAAACCATACTTGGATTCGGGCTTCTGGAAGAAGCATCGACTCTGCCAGTTGTTCCCGAACACTCACATCCGGATAGTGGGTACGTTCGAATTCTAAAAATTTGAAACAGAAAAGGATAGACATTCTCTAAATCAGTCATCATCACTAAGACACGATTTTGTTAGTAAATCAAATAGTAATCATCTACGAGGCTCATGTGAGTAACACCTAAATGGAGTTATCTGAGGAACACAAACATACCTCTTTCCAATAGATCCAGTTGTTCTGAGGTGAATGCAGTCCTGCTGCGTTGCGATTTCCTAGTCTCTTCAGATTCACTATTCGTATCACTGGTTTCTTTTTTTGCAGCGTTTGGTGAGGCATCACTCATCTTCACGTTTTGAGCTATTTCAGTCTGATCTGTCGCATTTAGGTCGCATTCGGCCTCAGAGAGCCTATCCGTCTGAAATAACGGTTGGCTCGGATGTGCATGCGAGGACCCAGGCTCGTGCTCACCACTGGAATGTCTGCCGTATAGATTAGCTTGCAACATATCGTCCACGTCATCCAGTATATACGAAGTGTATGGTGCTTTGCCCTTAGACTTGTTCCTTCCTTGCTGCAGTTCAAGAGGGATACTCCCTGGGCTTTTGATCCCACCGGAATTATCATTGTTCGGGGACCAGAGAGTTCCCGGTGGATTTGCAAGCCGAGAGTCTGAAGAAAGAGGTTTGGAATAGTTGAGTAAATGGAACTGATAACAGTAGTATGAAAACAACTGAAAAAAGGATAAAAGGTAGCACATGTATTCATCTTACAACAAAAAGAAAATTTGGTTATCACTATGAATAGTAATTTCTCAAATAATGCAGTCAAAGTGTTTTTCATGCCTAACAAACTGTTGTTGAATTGTTTTTTTAGAAAAAATGCAAGGCGTGGAAAGCCATCTTTCCGAAGTGAATGAATACTTTGACAAGGAAACTGTTGAGTTTGCCGTTGTAGGAAAAACGTTGGATTGTCTGTATGCGATTGGCGGTCGTTAAAGTTTAACCAATCGTTGTCATGCCCAATACTGATGGTACTTTCGGTCCTCAAGTCGTGGATGAATCTCACCAGTAGGCAACATGACCTTCTACAGGATGTTTTTGGCTTTTAAGCATACTTCAAACCCGAAATCGAGTAAGCAAGACATTGAAGTAACGATAATTTATTCGAGTGGATTGTAAATCCGGGGTATTCTGGACCCTCCATCTCGAAGCGCTACCATCATTTCTGATATTTTAAAATTCGCTGGCGGTGTCAGGTAGACAGGAAGATTCTAACCAGTGAGTTGGTCGCTCGTTTCCGAGTTACCTGTTGGCACAGATGTTCTTTCGAAATGCAGCAGACAGACAGCCGTTTGAGAAAACTAACTTTCGCCTGAAGAGCGATGATCTAGAGTCCTGAAGTAATCAGGATGTATTTTTGTTAACTGGATGGCAGTCAGTGTTAACACGTCAGAACCATATTTGATTAGCTTCAATAATGCGCGTCCTTTAGGTGTGGCGTGTCGTAATTTTGAAAGCAAGAATTTTGAGTAAATACAGTTGAATGAAACACGCATGAGAGGAATTCAGAAACATCTGTTGCACCCATTTTTCAGGGGACCTGACTTGAGGTTGACAGAAAGTTTGGTGAGAAGCACTAAATGGCTTACTGCCATCAGAAACATGCTCATTTGCCCTTGCGACAATTCATCTGATGTTCATTGGGTGCGTTTTGCTGTCTAAGCAGAAATTACTTCGATTTTTCTGGTTTTGAAAATTCCGCACAACAACCACTTAGCCACTTCTTGCTCACATACGATGATAGTAGTGTGTGGAACTTTCGAAATTTTAATGGGTGTCTCATCTTGCAGTGAGTGATGGAAACCTTGAAGCACTTCACAGAATCATAAACAGAGCACATCTGAAGGGTCTCCGAGACCCTTCTAGCTATCGGTTTAAGAGCATGCCGTTGTGGCATAATGATTCCCCTATGGATAACGACGTCTCGGATGAAAGGACAATGCTTAGATGCAGTGGCGGTGTGCAGCATCCAGACTTAGCCAGTGTGCTCATTTCCGAGGTTGTAACAACTGGTACGTTTTTCGGTTTATCACTAATTCTAGTCTCAGCTATTCGACAGTAATCAAATGCCTATCTTTCCAACGTCTTATTTTCTATAGCCTAATCTCTATTTACATAGAAAACACAGAAAATGATGCATCATAAATCTACAAAGGGTGCAAACCGTTGCGCCAAATGGGGCTTCCTACTTTGAACGGTGTGTGAATTTCATGTGAATGAGCTTAGTATCAGATACAATCAAAATCCCTCATTTTTACTCAGACAGATACCAGTCTGGACTAGCTGCTCGCATAAGGGCACTATATACTTGAGAGTGACGATTTTTGTGAAAAATATCAACTGCTTACCAATGAGCGAGGTCGCTTCTGCCTTCTGTGTACTAGCGGCGTAGTTAGGGAACGTCGTTGACTTTAGAACCTGAGCTAGATCTGAAGTTGAATTCCGCTTTGCATCCGTCTTGACACGTTTAAAAACACTGTCCTCAGTTAGAGATGCCACCAGTTCTTTCAGTTTTCTTGTCGAATCTGTGCTTACCTCCATCGGCGCGAGGGTAGACGGTAGTAAATGACCAATCGATTTGGATTGAATGAATTGATGCTCCGAATCATTTGTCACTTTCGTAAACGTCCCTTGATCTTGCGGATGTAGTTTTTCTGACACCTCACTGGCGTAGGTTTGTTTGTCGGAAACACTGGTTTGTCTTGTACGCTTATACCGATTATTGTTCGCCACATCCAGTGTATGCGAGTCGAGGTTGAATCTTTCTGAGAACGAAGCATCCTCTTTCGTATGAGTGTTGGTTGCCTGTCGCATAGAAATGGGGAATCCAGCGGATGCGACGCAATCTGGATAGGGGAAAAGTTTGCCTGTGGTGGGTGCATCTAGCAGATCAGGTGAGTGGAATGTTGGATAGCCCACACCATAATGTGATGCATTTTGACTAGTCGAATGGTGATGGTACCAGGATGACCAGGCAGCCGGATGAAGGAGATTGGAGAAGGTATCGTAAGTACCACCATTTTGTGAGCTGGAGCTTTCAAGCATATGGCTGTTTACCGCAGACTGACTAATGGACATGAGGCTGGTATCCTGAACCAAACGTGAATTAGCTAGCTGTGGTTGGTAGTGTGACGAATGTTGGGCGGCCGCTGCCATGGCTGCCGCGGCAGCGAACGCTGCGGAATGTGAGTGAGAGAAGTTGTTCGAAAGTCGACCGGTTTTGGTGTTGGGTGTTGCGGTTCCATAGTGAGCTGTCAGGGGTAATGGATAGAGTTGCTGACTAGCATTCATATTTACCGCATCACGCTGAGGATGTAGTTCAGCTTGTTGAAGGTCGAGTGGGGTTGACTCTGGATGGAGTAGGTGACGTTGTTGAAACAGACCAAATGGATCAGTGACAGACGGTGGGGACTGATGCTGGTGAAGATAAGGTTGTTGATGTTGCAAATGCCCTGATTGTCCGTTCTGTGGTGCACAGCTGGGAACTGCAGTCCGTGAATTCGGGCTTGGTTTTACATTAGGACTCTGACCAAGATTAGAGCGGAGCAAACCACTTTGCCCTTCTAATGACCGATTTAATATTGGACTCAGGTGGGACTGATCACTGCATACATTACGTAATACCCGGTTGATGGAGGACACCTGAAACATGAATGTGCACATTAAGAAAAGCATTTGTGTTCTGTGAACATAATTAACAATTAAACTATGGGCTATACGTGTAAACGTTTGAAACAGTATACTAGTCCTGTTAGTTGGTCCGCTAACAAAGTTCACTTGTCATAGGGTAACCCAGTTACTATCAGCTGGAATTCCTGTTTGTAAGTTTCATGGTACCAACAAGTTCATTTGCAAACTAGGTTATAACTCCAGTTGCCTGCATTTACGTTTTCAGGTAGAAAATAAGATTGATGAAAGTGGGGGGTGCCCACCCGATGAGCCCAGGAACAGCAGGAACAGTAGATGGTAGCCGAAGTGCTCTTATCAACTTCAGGTGTCACGTAAAAGAGGCATTGTACTGTGTTTAGACAGTCTTATTGATTCGTCATAGACTATTTTCAAAAAGAAATACAGTAATCTCCTTTGAGGAAAGAGGAGCACAGGGGGGAAGCAAAATTTTCCTTAGGCAGACGGATTCGGTGATATCTGCTCCGAGCAGACAAGCCCAGCAGAACCGGAGGAAAAACAGTAATGTTTTCGCCTATTCAGATATATTACTCGGATTAGGCTTCACATAATTGACGTCACAAGCACTGATTATACATTAACCCGTCACACTACTGAGCTGTTTTTTTATTCGATCACACCTTCGCCGTAAAAATCCAATCTGCTTCCATGTCCACTACTACTTAACTATCGGGTCCTCCGTAAGAGTGGATGGATAAGCAGACAAAAACTTCTGACTGTTCGCTGGTAGTCAGAAGCTTGTTCGAATTGGTTCCACCACCGTTATGGCCAATAATTCAGCCTGAGGTTCACATAGTTCACAGATGAAATATCAACTACCTGTACTACACATGAGGCATAGAATGAAACAAGGCACGATAATGCCATATTCCTCCTGCAGTAACCAGTGTTTTTAGTCTTTTTCAAGTCAAAACAGCTGAACACGTTACTTCCCACTAGCCTATGTGACGAGGTTTGACGGGCATTGCATGGGTTTCTCATACTGTTCTTTCATTGTTATGTGACCTCAGCCCAGTAATAAATGCTTGAAACGATCATGTCAGAGTTACTCAACGATTCTTTCCAACCATTACAAACACGGATGTAAATGAAACTTCATTACCCCAGATTTGGATTATTTATTAGAACGAAATGTTGCTACGGCGCACAGTCGCGTTTTTCAGACTGGACAAAACAAAAAGCCACGAGTACCAGGGTGAAGTCTCACCAGAAATTAGATTACGCTCAGTGTCACTGTGGTATCACATCTGAATGCTCCCTTAAAAGACCAATCTTGAGGCGGGTTCCACCTGCTCGTGGTAAAATTCCTCTTGTGACAATAAAAGCCAGTGATTTGAATGAAACACTCCCGTGTTGCGATAAATATTCTTCAGGTCCTTTGCAAATGCCCTTTTCAAAGTTGGGTTCACTGTGTAGTGCTGAGTGAAATAAAACTATTTACCCAAAATAGTGTCTGATAGCGGCTTTGAGGACGCGGATTCAGGCGTCCTTTTACCATGCAACTCTGTAGACAGACAAACCCACCCATTCAGCATTTCTCTTTCACTAAATGTCCATCCACCCATCCGCAATTACTTCAACTATTTGAACATTTACTGGTTTGTTTTAAAAATTCCGCTGTTTTATGAACGTCTTCTGGACAATCCTCAGTTGTAGACGCGATACACTAATACTCATAAGGTTGCTGAAAATTCTTCGACGACCCACGCCCGGTTATGCCCTTCTTGAGGCTCATCAGGTAGGTGCATCTACAACATGAGGCGGTCTGATGCAGCACTTTTAGTCGTTTGAAAACATCCTAAACGGGAGATTCAGCTTGGTCCCAGGTGGGTTTCTCGCAAAGCCAAATTTGTTTGCAAATGAGTGCACTTCGCCAATTAACTGGTTTATTTAAAACTTCAGCTGTCTGACAGCGGAAGCACGTTCCAGTATATGGTTGCAGCACTTTTACCGTTTTGCCTGATGTGACACAAATAAGCTGTGTTCGATTTCGGCCTTCATAACGATAGTTTAATAATGCCGTGCTAATAAAGTGTGTGTGGCACATCTATCCATTAACATACCGCTCGTAAGATTAATGCGGTTTTTACTTCTGTTTTTCCACAAATAAATGGTTGACTGATTCGTGCAGATAAAGCAGCGTGTACTTCGTCCAGGCCATCTGTTTTCTAACCCAAATTTAGGAGTAATTCCTCTTCTGCCTAACCACAATTCGAACCATAACAAACTCCGCTCATAATCACTTGTATTATCAAAACTGAGCTTCAGAGTAACATCCTATGAAGAGCTCAACTATCTGACAGCACAATGAAAGATATCCACGTTCTGTGTGATGTGTGTCCGTGCAGATGGTGTCCCAAGGTTAATGAAATAACTGAGAAAACTGTAAAATATTGTCTTCAAACAGTAAATTTCACCACCTAGATACAGAACTACCTGAACTCACTTCAAAGCAAACGGCAGGTCGCGTAAAATTTTACCCAATTTTTCTCTAGTTTAATTGTCAATAACTAGTCAAAACTCTGAATAATTAAGTGAAGTTAATTTTTGATAAGTCAAATGCTTAAAGCGATTACTGGAACGAAATTCGAAGAGTCTGAATGCGTTCCGATAAGAAACAGACGATAGAGGGAAGACGTTCCGTCACAATTCAGGGTGCCAGGTCAGTAGATAGAGTGAGGAATCAGCAATGCCTGATGGTCTTCATGACTACATACGTTAGAATAGTTGGTCGATTCTGGCGGCGACACTCCAATAAGAAAACATGGAGTTATGCTGGTCTGACCTCAAGAAGGTCTGACTTCTGCTTCGTTGTATCATGCTCTCTGGATTTCTGTCTCACCAAAAATCTCTTGGTAAAAAAAATAACGCCAAATGTGCGTGAAATTTAGCACCAGCGAGCGAAAACTGAGATAATCGATTTCCTCAAAAGGATTTGGGGAATTGTCAATTGTGCTGTTGTCTGGACGCACCGCCACTTCCGACCAAAGCCCCTCATGGGAGCTTTGGGGCAAATTGGCGCATCTTTCCAAAATTTATCAAGAGGACAGTAGTAAGGTGCGATCCCACACAGTGCCACTTTTTCTCACATTTTCTTCAAACAGTAGCCTATTATTAGTGAACTGATTCCCCCACTATGACCAAAAGTTGCACCATTCAATTGATTAGGATGGGCTATATCGCGAAAAACATAGACAGTTCTATAATAATTCTTAAGGGATCACCAGGACTAATTTTTTCTTCACAATTTCATTTTATTCCTTTCATTATGGCCAACACAAAGGAAACGGCAGTCCGCATAATTCTCGTCGATCAGACACCCCTTCACCACGTGCATGCACAGAAACAGTAACTGAGTCAGTAGAGCTGGTGATTTCCTGCACAAACACAGAGCAGCTTGGGGTACTCAGTCTACTGAATGGTTTGGGGCAGAGAGTACGAGCCGGACGTGGTGGCGCTTGACCGCCTTTCGAAACAACTCGGATGTGCAGTGAAGTGGAATGAGCTGAAACTTGGTTACATGCCGATTCAAGAAGCCCCATCTCCTCTGTCATAGAGGTTTGAAGTAGTCATCTAAGGAACACGCGAAAGGCGCTTTAAAGGACTATGCGTGTGTTCGGTTATTTGTGCTTCGCTCGGGGAGCTCAGTGTATGGGCGTTGGTTCTGCGCTCACTCCGTACGTACCAAAAGCTTTGAATCAGTCACGTAAACAGCAGCTCGTTCAACTCGGGTTTCTCTTCTTTTCAAGTTGGTTCTGTAGCACTCACTGGTAAATTTAAGCCAAAGAAAGCCTTATCTGAAAGGTGTATTTAGCTTAGTCTTCTGAAACGGTAAATTCTCGGTTTCCATTCTGTCTACCAACAGAATAAGTTCATGCCTCCATTGTTTCTACAACCAGTGGGTTAGTGTGTTTTTTTCCTAACAAAATCTACTGTAAATAATGGGTGTTCGGGTACGAATACGAGATTCTGTTTTGGTCAAAATTTGTTCCACTGTTGGTTTGTCTCTTCTCATTTCTGTTCCTCGAATTTCATTTAAAACAGTACCAGATCTTCTCAGTAAACTGGAACATGGTTTGGACAGATTGGGTTTGATAAATCCACCAATTTTTTTTACGAAACCTCTCTGAAACCATACTAGTTCTTGATCAGTAAGCCCTTTTTGCCCACTTTTTGTTGCCAGATGTATTAACCTGCCTAGGTACCCATGGATTCTGGATTACAGTAAACCAGTTCTTACACAGCAGATACCAGTGAAAACCATCCATTGGCTTCCTGAAAACCTAGTTACTTATGACAGGAGATAAACCCACGATGTTTGATGCTGCCTAGGTACCCATGGATTCTGGATTACAGTAAACCAGTTCTTACACAGCAGATACCAGTGAAAACCATCCACTGGCTTCCTGAAAACCTAGTTACTTATGACAGGAGATAAACCCACGAATGTTTGATGTTTTTTTTTAACGTGCGACTGCTTTCACCTCAATTTCGAACCGACACTCAGCAGGTGCACTCAAGCCCAGCATGGTGTAACTGTGCAAATGAACAGCCTGATGAGGCCAACTTTGGTTTTGGTATTTTATGAGACAGCAAAGTGTTCGTTAGTTACTATTCGCTGTCAGGTCACGGGCAATCGCTTTGAAGTTCAAATGAAATAGGGCTGGAAGTCATTCCCTTTAGAGGTACACAAACTTACTAGTTATACAAGCCACTTGTTTTGTGAGCTTCGGCAAAGCAAATTCTGTTATTCTCTCGAATTTGCCAAAGGAAACAACTGGGGAAACTGTGTATAGTCATCACGTAAATAAGCGAAAACGTGATGTTCATCTTTGCAACCGCTAATTTAGTAAATAGACTCCAAAGCAATAGTAAACCAATGCTTGGAATGGTTCCATCTTCTGGATAACACAGCCTTTCTAACTAAGACAATGGGTGCAACTGGTTGGCCATAACTGCAAATTTACTGGGAACATGTACCACGTCAAATTTATCAGCTACCTTGTCCTATGTCTGTCAATCCAAAACTGCTGATTTCCATAAGCCTCGTCTAGTCTAAGCTGGAGTGCACTTTCTTCCCTAATCGTTCTCCTTGACAGCTTTTCACAAGGTGGTTTATGTAGAAATAAGTGATACCGATAAGGAACTCACACTTGGAATGTTCTCCGGTGTGCAAACACCTTCTTGCAACAGTCGGTCTCTTATTTCCCAGGCAAAAATTGATGGACATTCTCGTTTGTAGTGCGCAATCTTGAGGACAACCATGTTTGTGGCTACTCGAGGTTTGCTGCCTCCGATAGCCTTTGGTCTAATTGAGCCTGTTTCGTAGTAGCGACACAATATTTTCGATACGCACCCATTAGAAACTTGAAGGATTCGGGATATATCACAAGGACGTGCGCCGGAGTGTGCCAGTTCGATAATGCGTTGGCGGGTGCTGTCGGGCAGTGGGCGGCCATTTACAAACATCCCTCCAAGTTGATTAACACCAGAATGTCCTGTGTGAAGGGAAATCATTGTAAACGTTAAACGAGAAATTAAGAGAGGTGAGTACAATGGGAGGGAGACTCAAGAACGTGTACCGTTTCCAGTAGTGTTTCATCTGGCAAATTACATTTGGGTTGCCCGTTGTCAAGGTCTGGGCTCAGGAAAATCAATTATTTGGAGTTTCTGGTGAATGGGAAACTTGCTGGACAAAGTGGAGCCCGTTATTTCAAATGAACGTAAGAAATGTTGAACCCGCTTTCTCTATCGACATGGATTTGTCCGGGTCCTTGCTTTCCTGTCGCCATTGTTCACCATTTACTACATTTAACCGTTTTTCGCGTCATCGTCTGTACACGTTCCGACGTAGTTCGCTTTTTAACTTATGGTTGATCTCGAACCGCAGGCATTCTTTTGATACCATCTTGTCAGCATCCACCTTTTCCCTAGATGTTTTCCAGGCTTTGAGCGGGTTGAGATTTATAAAGGCGTGGCTTTAGCCTGGTGGTACTCGTACCACTACCCGATAAATATTTTTTATTCAAAGCCTTCGGTCTTACCATCTTCATCGACCTTTCTATTGAAATCCCTGAGAAATTGGCGGTTTTGCCAGGAAATGTCGAATAAAACTTTGTCAGGCGGGGTTACAACCCATCCACTGTGCAAATGTCCTCAGGAACTGCGTACTTGTTAACAACAAGTACTTACCAACTACACCTATCTTGTGATTTAGGTGAGTTTCATCGAAAACTGGACAAACTTCTCAAAGTGAGAGGGCCCAGGGTAAAAGAATTACTCCAAAAGAATCAGTACTATAAGTTACGCGTCCATCCTCCGGATAAGGTTTCTGATAAATCCCTCGAGACGATAGCAATAATCAGTCTCATCAATGAGGCCAGTGGCCATCAGGCGGAAACCAAAACAAGACAGTTGTTTGGGGCTCCTACACTTAGGAATTCATGTGCGTCAAGCAGTTGAGGATGCACTTCTTTTGAGAGCCTTTGAAACACGTCAAATCGCAGAATAAATACATCTATGTGCATATCAATATGTTTTCCATGAGAGACTAAACCCCATTTCTCGTTTATGAAATTCTTCAGCTGAATGTGTTGTACAAGGACCGCCTCATGTTTCATTGGGTATGACATTCGAGACATCGCGGTATTTCTTCCTAAAGGACACTCCTCGCTACTCGAAATAAATCCAATTTGAGTTAACGAGCAATATGATGTTGACGGGAACTTGTGGACTACGTCTATCCGATAAACCTCAAGATAAATAATTATAAATAAATCAATCGGCTGCAGCACTCTTTTGGTGCCTAGCTGCCATGCAACACGAAGGAAGCACGAGGGTGGGGTGCTGTCAGGTTGCTCAAGCCTATACAGGAAAAGTCGAGATGCTGAGGTTGGGTTGGAATAATGGACTTCCCGGCCAGTAAACTCGCGCTCTAACCACTGAGCCATATCGCCCCCAAAAACGATGAAACCGGTCATAGGCTGTCAAAGAGTTTTGAGCAACCTTGCGAGTAGTTTCCTGCATGAAAATATATTGTGATATCTGGGATGTTGTATCAAACGAGAGATTCATTAGAGCCTCCCAGGAAATTTCGCTTGATATGCAAACGGGTGTATTTGTCAAGATCTGTTTAATTTAGGTTCAAGTAAGACATCAAGCTGACGGAAACTCGGGGACTATGCCTACCTGATGAACCCCAAGAAGAGCGAAACCGGTCATGAGCTGCTGAAGAGTTTCCTTTGTGAAAATAGTGTCTGATCCCAATCATCGAATACCCGACCGCTGAATTTGATTCAGACAAACTTATTCCATGTTTAAATATTTTGGTTGTTTTGTGAGATTAGTGCGTCTGAAAGGTAACACGACTAAGGGACCGGATGATAGAAAAACGAATTCAATTTGTTACCAAGTGTCAGAAGCTGCGAATTTATTCAGAGTAAAGCTTTGCCCTAAAAACGAACAAGTTTATGGAGTTCTCGTTGTCTTTTGCTCGTATGATCAGATCCTCTGTCTGTATTAGAGGAACCGCCGAACGAGTACCTGGAGGAGCCATCAGAGCAGCTTAGCAGGTTTGAAATAGCTAGATTTTTGGGCGTATTGTGTGCCGGCTTGCGCGGAGTAAATTTGTCAAGATATAGCAGGAAAAATAAGAAACTGCCTGGAGTACTACTGGTATGACGATGAAAACGGTCTGCTTTACCGAACGGGAGTCAAACACAGCCTGTCTGAAAATTTCTCGAGAAGCGACTGTGAATCTCGATGGTGGGGTGGTGGGGAAGAGGAATGATCTTAGCTCGATCAAACTGTTTTAAAGGAGATAAAGAAGTCTCACAGGAACCTAAGAAGTAAGCTCATAAAGCTCCTTTTTGGATTAGGTTATTCCTGGCTCACCAAAAGCCGATTTAAAAGCATTCGATTTTTGAGATACGCATGACAGCCAAAACAGTGTGAACAGCATCTGAAAATTCATCAATGAGAAGTAAACTGTAGACTGCGGTTAGACCAACAATTCCGTTGCCTTTGCTTTTGTATTATAGAGTTTCGGAACTCCGATTTCCCAAGACTGTGCTGATGGTCAGCAAATCAAATGATAAACGATGGTCATAATTATGATGCAACTGCTTAGTCTCCTTTCGTTTGCGTATGGAATGACCGATTGTTTTGAAAGTACAGTCGTTGAATACCGCTTGGAAAAATGATTGATCCAATTGACAGGTTAGCACCATTAACAAAGTTTCTCAGTTCAGAACTGGGTTTGATCTTAGGGCGGAGTGGTCTCTCAAGATACATATCCGAAGTTTTCCTTATTATGGGCTTTCTTGAAAGCCGTATGACTTCCTGCTGGACCCAACTGTATTTCAATCAATCCGGTTGGATAATTTCGTGTGTCGAGTGCTTGTCAACCGTTCCGTCGTCTGATGCCAAAGTACAGTTAGAACAGTTGTAGCTGCTGCCTTTGTAAGATCATCAGAACATCACGAGAAATTCAGCTCAAATTTGGTTATTCACTCACTTATGTTCCATCAACTAGCGAGAGCTGACTTGGATGATACTGAGTCTTGACAACTGTCCACTCAAGGAGACGCTGTATCTCCCCGAGTGACCTCAGAAAACTCTGTCGTATTTCAGAGCCGCAAGAAATTACACACTACTTCAGGTGACCTTTATGTATTTCCCCAACAAATGAATGATAGTTCGGTGTTACAGTAATCCTTGCAGATGGGGGGCGTATTTCACCGAGATGCCGACATATCGAAATCCGCTCATAAATGGTTGACTGATAGTCTTTTTGTGAGAGGATCCTTTGTGTTGTAACAACGGGTAAAACGTGCCGTTGCTATTGCTGTTGTTCAATGTCGAATGCTCTCGACTCATGCTCAAGAACAGCAGCCACTGTGGCGAAGAATTTGTTGCTATTGATTTCACTGAATACCATCACGACCAAGAAAAGTATGGACGTAGTTCGCAGCCGGGCTTTTCAGTTCAAGGTCAATCGCTTCGCATATGCCTCTGCATGAACAATGATTTGGAACACGTAAACGGAACTTAATCATATTTCTATTTAAATGACAGTATCCTCATACCAGAATGCTAAACTCATTTTCCAACACTCGTCTATTTAAAACCCTTGAGACCAATGGATGATAAGCACAAATACGGCATCGTACAGATGCACCGTACGGCTGTAAACTTATCCGCAGAGTGTGACGAACGCTCTGTATCATACTCGCCGCCGAAAAATATGCGCAGTCGATGATGACATTAATAAAAATTCAAGAAACGACGGTGATGACGGTGAAATGATGCACCCGTATTTTGTCAGCCTATCTGACAACTTCTATACAACCAAATTAAACGGATGGATGCATTCCCAATAGCTAGGGGAGGACTGCACGAAAAATTGTCATGGCTTATGTTGCTTTGTTGGGACTTACCACGCTTGAATTTCTGCCTTACGCCATCATCCGAACTGTCCAGCGAGGTGCTATCCAACGTCATCATAGTACGTCCTGATTAATAATGGTAGAGAAGGAAACGATCACTCTTCAATCATTTATTGGGCATCACAACTTTTTAAGCGAATTCGATCGGCAAAAAAATTGAAAAAAAATACAGAAGAAAGTCTGAATATTTAGCGAACCTACAGTCCGTAATCAAAAACAGCTTTATCGACCTGTTGCAAGATGTATCTCAAATTTTCAGGAAATCAATGTAGAACAGGCCCCAGAAGTTTTGATGGGGTTAGTATATACCTCACAATCGACTTAGCATATACGCGGCGTACGTACCGAAAAAAACAAGTCAAGGCAGTCTGTGCTCCATGGATGAACGAATGTCTCAAAACATACATTGTACAGTGTTGTTGGGAGAGTTGAAACTGTCATCTGTTTTGCACTCCTTTCAGCACTCTAACTCCTTGTTTTTGGTGCAGATTCTAGGGGACTTTTGGTCTATATGAAAAAGAGCTGTCTGGAAAAGCCAGTACGACCAGCCCTCTGCTTTCTTGAAAGACAACAAAGTCCATTATTTCTTGGTAATGCGGCAATCCATTCCGAGATGACTGGGATGAGTTCTCCTCAAATCTGAAGCTAAAACCTTCGTTACGCAGATCTTTGTTTTACTTTAAATGACTCCAGCTGGGCTCCTTAATTCATGCCCCATTTGTTCTTGAAGGGAATACGATCAGGTGACTTAGTCAACTAATTTCATTAACGAAATTGGCAGGGTCACGTTGACAACCTTCGACTGGAAGCAAACTTTACCGGTTTGATTTCCAAGAACAAACTAGGGAATATTGTGATGCCCACCTTTATTTTAACTTCCTTTCTCCTTAAAACCATCAAATGACGCGCGAACCAAACTTGATGACCTCGAGCCTACCCCTTCTTCCTGAGATCGACGTTAGTATGGTTATCCAGTCATCCATCCTTAAGGTCTCTCGTTTCTGCAATCTTCTGTCCTGTAAGTGAACTCTCTTAGGGGTGGTACTTTCTTCAGCGTCAGAGATTTCGCCT